TTCACTATGTTGGCCAGGCTGGTCTTGAACTCCTGACCTTGTGATCTGCCCGCCTTGGCCTCCCAAAGTGCTAGGATTACCGACATGAGCCATCAAACCCGGCCTCATCCCAGCCATTCTTTAGGAACTCAGACATATCTTTTTTTCTCCTAGCATGATGCCCACCCCAAGGTACTTACATGTCTTCAACAACACCTTCCGGACAGCTTCGTGGTATCTTGTGTGGCTATTCTGGTGCACGGAATAATTCCCATCTTTTGAGATAATGGGGGGAAGCCTAGTAGGCTCTGATTCCTTCTGGTCTGAAATGAGAGTAGACTTGTTCTGAGTACTTGGCAAATGACTATTTGATTCTCTGATTCCCTGGTCTCCATGCTAACCAGGTGCATGGCAGGCATCTCTCCTAGCCATTCACATCCAGTTCTCAGGAATCCAATCACCATGGCTGTGACAGAGGGGAGGGAGGGAGAACGCAGTGATCACAAGACCTCCCTTACCACTCTCTTGCTCCTGCCTGACTCCTGGGTTTTAAGCGGCCAACTTCTGGAATCAGGATATTGGACACATACTTAGGGTTAGTGCAAGTGAAAAAGGCCCTTATCTGGGTAGACATTCCTTTCCTGGGATTGGCATATTTGCAGAACTTCAAATGGTCTAATAGTGGAAGTTATGTTTGAGCTAAGTCTTGGAGGAAAAGAAGGAGGTGGGTTACAGTAGAATCAGGAAGAGCATTTCAGACAGCAGAATGGCAAGTGTTTAGAAGCATTAGAGAGGCATCAGAGGGCTATTTGGTTTGGAGCCTGGAGTGCTGGGTGAAGAGGAGAAGGACAGGAGATGGGGCTGGTAAGGTAGTGCAGTGTAGTGGCTATCTAGCTTTCGTTATGTTTGGGAATCACTCCCTATGAAGCAAAACCTGTATCTCACAATAGAGGCTGAATAGATGAGTTCTTCCTTACTCAACCTCTCTTTCAGCAGGGATATGGACAAAGAAATTTGGCTAGGCCAATCAAACACATCTGCTTCAGATTTTGAATCAAAGGTTGCAAGGAAGCAGTGGCCATATAAAGTTATCTGCTAGTGACAGGAGGTGACAGCAATGAAGCTGCATCCTGTTTCCAGCAGCAGTATTCAGGACCCAGCATCCTTGGTGCCAGTAGTGCCCACTACAGCATTGAATGCAGTAGTGTCTGTGCCAGATCAGGTCTATGGCATGATTCTGAGCATTGTTTCTGATTACCGTCCATCATGTGTAGTTTTCCATTCCTACTGCAGCTTTTATATGCTTCCCAATATTTTCTTATTTTCTTCCTCTTTTTATTTATTTATGTATTTTAAGAGGGTCTCCCTCTGCCGTGCAGGCTGGAGTACAGTGGTGTAATCGTAGCTCACTGAAGCCTTGAACTCCTGGGCTCAAGCGATCTTCCCTCCTTTGCGTCCCAAAGTTCTGGGACTACAGATATGAGCCACTGCATCCAGCTCCACATACATATAGTTTTTCTTTCTTTTAGACGGAGTCTCACTCTGTCACCCAGGCTGGAGTGCAGTGGCCCGATCTTGGCTCACTGCAACCTCTGCCTCCTGGGTTCAAGCAATTCTCCTGCCTCAGCCTCCCAAGTAACTGGGACTACAGGCGTGTGCCACCACACCTGGCTAATTTTTGTATTTTTAGTAGAGACGGGATTTCACCATATTGGCCAGGCTGGTCTCGAGCTCCTGACCTCATGATCCATCTGCCTCCACCTCCCAAAGTGCTGGGATTACAGGTGTGAACCACTGTACCCAGCCAAAATTTTAAAAAATCCATTCATATTCTGCTTAAATAGGCTAGATTTGGCTTGCATCTCAGACTCCTGAACAAGGGAGGATGAGTTTGAGAAAAATTTAAGATGCAGAAGAGCAAGACTTGGTGAGGGAGTGAGAAAAGGAGAACTGTTTAGGGTAGCTTCAAGATTTCTGTCTCTTGGCTGTTCCATCCATTCTGTCACGCAAGCCAAAAAGGCGCTAGGCCCCTTTCCCTATCTCCTCCAGCCAGTCTCAAATGCAGAGTAAAATCCAGCTCTTGGCTGGGCACAGTGGCTCATGCCTGTAATCCCAGCACTTTGGGAGGCCAAAGTGGGTGGATCACCTGAGATCAGGAGTTTGAGACCAGCCTGGGCAACATGGTGAAACCCCACCTCTATGAAAAATACAAAAATTAGCTGGGAGTAGTGGTGCACGCCTGTAGTCCCAGCTACTCCGGTGGCTAAGGGAAGAGAATCGCTTGAATCCAGGAGGTGGAGGTTCCAGTGAGCCAAGATGATGCCACTACACTCCAGCCTGGGAGACAAGAGTGAAACTCCGTCTCCAAAAAAAAGGAAAAGAAAAAAAATCCACCTCTGCATCTGACATTTTCAGTGACTCCATTCTGTATTCCTGGAGCAGAAGTCATCCCATTCCTCAAATTTTTATGTTTTGTGATTATGGATGCCTGTCAGGAACTGGATCAGTTTACCATTCTCTTTGGAAATTGTCGAGAATTGCTGACTAATCTCTGGTGGAGGGTGGCGATGCCCCTTCTGTTCTGGAGTTCCTCCCCAGCTCCTGCTTTTTTCTTTTCTTCCTGGCTCAGCCTCACTCATTCATCATCTCTGTCCCTTGTCTCTCTCGTTTGCCCTCCAATTAAATCTCCTTTAACATTCGCTATCTGAAATAATGGTACCACTAGAGTGGGGAACAGCTTGAATTCCCTCCCTGTACAGTTGTGGACTTGGAGAAGCAACAGCACTGAAGCCTTGGTTAGCATATAGAGTTCTGGATGCCCGCACTGCACCACAGGGCTGATTTGTACTTCATTACAGGTTATAGCAATGAGGCCATTTCCTGGAAGCAATATTATTGAGCTTGGTATTTGAATTTGGGCAAGGTAGGGGTGGCAGGATGTCCTTGGACAAATAGAAATAGACTGAGGAGAAAGAACAAGCATATTCCTAGTGACCAGTGGGAGCTAGACTGAGAATAATTATTGGTCTGAGCTCAGGTGACAGTTAGGAACTCTGTCTGTTCCTGAGGCCTCAGGCTGATTGCCAAGGGTACAGGCAGATGATGTTCTCTATCATCTCAACGTGTCCAAGCAGCAGGGTCTCGGCTTCCCATATGAATGGTCAGTGTGTGCTTGGAGGTGTGCTGGACAGTATCACTCACCTGGATACCTTCCTTTGGAATCAAGCACCAATTGGCATATACCATCCATTTTTGGCAAGCTGGGAGATATTCTTGGTAACCCATAACTTCCCCAAGTTGCCAAGGTTTGGAAGGTACCTGGGGTGAAGGGGGCAGGGCTTGGGAAGAATCATGCCACAGCTACTGGGAAAGGGCATGTTCTGGGTAGAGGGATGCAATGAGCTCTTTATAACCAAACTCCAATGTGGTAAGGTAGATGAATCAATTATTCTGTCGGTAGGTGATACAACAGAGGTCCTTCATCCATCCAGTTAACGCTATGCTCTGCGTAGTCTTTGCTGGTAAGTAGATATGAAGTACCCCAAATAGCTTCTAGAACTGGGCCACAAATTGGGGGTTGCCATAAAACCACCTTTAATGCTTTGAATAGACTATGAAGGGCATCTAGGGTGATATAAAAGTACTTAAGTGGATCTTCCATCCCTCCAAATTAATGGTGCAGATTTCTCAGTATTACAAGCTTCCCTGTGACTCGGGGTGATCACACAATCTTAGTTATTCACTACTTTGCCCATTGCCTCTGTTTGTTGCAATTGGGGCTGATTGGCCACAATGTTTTCAGATTGAACAATTTTTAGAATGAGTCTACCTTTGTGCCTCCCAGAAATCTACCTTCTAGATTAGGGTATTTGCAGCCAGGCATGGTGGCTAATGCCTATAATCCCAGCACTTTGGGAGACTGAGGTGTGGTGGGATGAGCCTGTGGTCCTAGCTACTCAGGAGGCTGAGGTGGGAAGATCGCTGAAGTTCAGGAGGTTGAGGGTGCAGTGGGCTATAATTGTGCCACTGCACCCCAGCCTGGGTGACAGAGCAAGACCATGTCTCAAAAAACAAAAAACAAAACAAAAAAAACAAACAGAAAAAATGACTCATGACTCCTGTCTAGGAGGTCAAATCAAATGTTAGGCATTAGTCTCTTAAAGGTGGATGGAACATTAAGATGTACTGAAATGGGCTGAAGTGTGTTTGGAAGGCTAATTTGCACTTATCATCTTCCCTGATACAAATAAATTGTCAGTGCTTTGGGAGGAAGTGGACAGAAGCATGAGCCAGGAAAGCAGACCAATCCTCAAGGCATGTTTTCCATATGGAAGCAGTTCCTTTGGCTCTATGTCCAAAAATATCTTCCTTGAAGTGGTGCACTTGTTCAGAATTCTGAACATGAGAAGTAGATGGGGCATGAGACAACAGCAGGACTTAGCGCTGGTTGCAGATTGCTGATGTAAAGTGGAGTACATGGAATTTTCTAGAGATAATAACAATAAAAATAGCTAGTGAATGTGCTTGGCACAACTCTATAATGTAGGTGCCATTATTATTTCCCAAAGAGGAAACAAGGGCAGAAAAGTTTAGTAATTTTCCCAAGTTACATAACTAGCATATGGTAGGGACATGAGTTTAACCCAAGTAGTTTGACTCCAGAGCCCATGTTCTTAACCACCATTGTAACATCATCAGGCTTCCCAGGAAAGACAAAGGACTAAGGGGAAACATAGACTGTTCGAACCAGCCTTTGATAGGCTCCCCTGTGTACAGCTCAGTGGGGGTCCTGTCAAGGGTGTCTGCTCACCTGGAGCAGCCTTGAGTTAGGTGGGTGACATGGTATCATTGCCTTGATCCACAGGCAGAACCCTGCCTCCCTCAGCTCTACTAAAATGTGTAATATCATTTCCTATGGCCAGAATGGGGGAGCAGAGGCCTGGAACTTGGTGGGTGACTGCCAGTGGATTAGATCAGTCCCAGTGGGGAAGACCAGTGCAGAAAGGCTAAACCCTTGTGGAAAAAGTGGCCTGTCTGCTGCGATACAGACACACTCACCCAGCTTAGCGGTGAGCCCACTCCTTAAGCTTAGAGTGTAGCTATGAATACGAGTACCTTCCCTTTCTAGTTTCATGTGGATAGGGGATGGAGTTGTGTTTTTATTGAGACAGGATCTCGCTCTGTTGCCCAGGCTAGAGTGCAGTGACACAATCATAGCTCACTACAGCCTGGAACTCCTGGGCTCAGGTGATCCTCCTGCCTCAGCCTCCTGAGTAGTTGAGACTACAGGCATGTGCCACCACGCCTGGCTAATTAAAAAGAAAATTTTTTTTTTTTGTAAAGAAGGGGTCTTACTATGTTGCCCAAGCTAGTCTAGAACTCCTGGGCTCAAATAATCTTCCCGCCTCGGCCTCACAAATTGCTTAGATTACAGACATGAGCCATCACATTGTGCCCCAAGATACATTTCTCTAACTTCAGAAGGTTTATCCATTTGGAAAGGCAGAGGGGCTCAGAGGCTGTGGCCAATTCATTCTTGGCTGAACTGTGCCACTTATACTCCTGTTTGAAAAGCCAGAATGGGCC